TATTAACGGGGTGGTCGTAAGGCAGGGTTCCACTGTATCTGTTACATGTACCTTCTTCACAGTTGTTCTTGTGACTTGTCATAATATCTTCCTCCCACACGAAGGTTCCTGGGGCAGTTAGAATGCATGACAGGCCTACAGAGCGTCAATGCACATGTAGAAGGCTACCACTGATGTGGCTATATAAAACATGCATTAACATATTTATTTAAGCCCACTGTAAATAAAAAGAAAATTTACCTAGGATGCATGCAGCCATACTGTTATTACCTTTACACAATCCAAGAAAGAGGCTTTTTCAGAGGTCAAGTTCCAAATAGATTGCTACAAAGTCACCTGTGCAAATGACACTTGCTCCTTCTTAACTGTCAGATGCTCACTCATTCCAAGTGCCTTACCCATACCACATATTCTTTTTATCCAGCCACTGACTTTTGACTCATAATAAGGTTCAAGTTCCACTGGAGCAGTGAAGGAAAACACTAGATGACCATCACAGCTTTCCGCTTTTTCACCCCCCAAAAGACTACTGCTCCTAAGCAACATTTTGTAATGAAATATCAATGAGGACTCTTTAACAGTCACAGTATAACGGTTAAGAGGCACTAAGTTCAGGCAGTTACAATCACTGTCTTGGTCACACCAGTAAATTACCGGATAACCAAGAAGAAAACCAAATACACAAGGCATGCACCAGTTTTCGTCGTTGCCACTGACATCATTTAGATTTAAAACCTCAGATGTTCCAGGTGCTCCATCACTTTGCGTCATGTCCGTAGATACATGTTTCAATTTCTGGTCTAACAATTCAACGATTCTGGCAAACTGCTTCTTCACAGCCATCGAGGCCTCCGTTCGCAAGATGCGCGGTTCTTGCAATTTTCCAGAGACGTCAACTAAAGTGAACTCTTCATGCTCAACCGTTTTTTTCAGATGACTCACCATATTTGCCAAATCTGCGAAGAATATGTCTTCACTGACTTTGAGAACGTTCAAGGAATAGGGAACTAAACATTCTGACGCTGATAAAGCTGCCATCAAAATACTGGCATTGGTTAAATCGACGACGGCATAATCAAACAGTAATGACGGCTTGAGGCCGACATAAATAGCTGCAAGATCAAGAAGAAACGATCTGTAACATTTGCCGGATAATTTCCCCAGAGATTTCTGAAATAGAGCCTCCCATTCTGCGAGGGTTTTTCTGGACCTTGTGTCCGCCATGATCCAGGCCGCACATGTACGTCCGCGCTTTCCTGGGAACGAGTTCTAATAATTTGGCCCCAGTTCTAGAGCGGCCAGAAGAAAACGTAGGGTGGGTCACACACACAGCACCCATGGCCAAAGAGGTTTCGTGTAAACTGGCTTATCCTATTCTTTTCCTTCGCATCATATCAACTGAGCACAGAACTTTGTCCAGATTCTGCGAGGGGAAGGCGTGCACATATATTTTTCCCTCTGGCTGTTTCACCTTCAGTACGTTATCCTCGGGGAAATTACTATTTCCTGCCTACTCCTAGCCTGAATTTCAGCCGCCTCCTCCACTCGCCGAGTCACTCGAGTGACTCAGCGAGCGGAGGAGGCGGCTGAAATTCAGGCTAGCCTACTCCATATTCCTACTGGCTAGGCGTGGCAGCTGGGAGAAGGAAGTCAGTGACTTCCAATCCCGCCCGCTTCTTACTGTTGACCCCCTGGACTTATCTCTAGTTTCTTTAGCATGAAACAACTAGGAGTATTTCTACTCCCCCCTGGATGGGATACCAGTCCATAGAAGGGTTGCCCCTAGCATCAAAGTTGCTAGTACCCATTTACACACCTGGGTAGAGAGAGACGAGAGAGGGACCTTGAGAGTAAAGTGTCTTGCCCAAGAACACAGCGCAGTGTCCCTGGCCAGTGCTCGAACCCGGACCGCTTGATCAAGAGCGCACTAACCAATTGAGGCCACCACGCCTCCACTTAATTGTTACTAAACTGGAAATCAAATAGTGTCCTGAACTCACCCAGAAAGAAGTGAGAGGCTGCCCTTTTCTTGTATAGAACAGCGTTCAGTGCGACATCTTTGCAGTTCACTTCAATTCCTTTGGTGTAGAAAACGGCGGCATTACTAAATTCATTTTTTTTGTACTCAGCATCTCC